ACAAAATCATGTTTTTGTGCAGTTTCTTTAGTCACAGAACAGTTACTGAAATGTGGAGGTGAGAATTCCTAACTTCTTCAAATGTCTTCAAGATTGAAAAACTCACCTGGGGTCATGTGTGTGTGCTTTCGTGTGTGTGTGTGCTTTCGTGTGTGTGTGTGTGTGTGTGTGTGTGTGTGTGTGTGTGTGTAAAATACATGCAGAACACCACTTTATCACCTTCTTCCAGAAATGTAGATGAAACTACAAAATGTGCCTAAACAATATCACAAATGAAAAAGGAGAAATAACTACACTTTAAAATGGAGAAATAATGTGATCTGGCAATCCATCAAATGAGAATATTGAAGACACTATACACACTTTTTTTTGAAGGATGAAAGRGAAGGAAAAAAACCTTAATATTTAGAATGAAATCAATGTATATTGGCACAAATGCATACTTTTCCCAGTCATCTTGGAAAGCGTTATTTTTTTTWWAAAAWGGACAAAACCTAGGATAGGTACTTTAAAGTCCCACTCATAGAACTATAAATTAGTACATTCTTATTCAGAAAGACATTCAGTAGCCTATGTAAAAAGCAGTTACGGAATTCCTATTATTTGATACATAAATCTCACTTGTAGGAAAGTACCTGAAGAAATAGTAATTGATGTAGAGAAATACTAATCTATGGTAGCTTGTAAGATTATATTACTGAAAATCGGAAACTTCTAATACAAAGTTAATTACATAGTGGTGTATCCATGTAATCAAATTCTATGTAGTCGATAAAAAATGATAACATAGAAGAATATTTAATGACCTGGAAAATGTTTTCAGTGTTATTGTAAAGTAGGGAAAGCAGAGAAAAAAGCAGACAGTGCCCTGTGATACTCTCTCAGTGTGCACCTCTCTTCCTTGGTGTTCCTTCCTTTCCAACCTCACATGCAAATGTTAATGTCTTGTGTATATGTATGCATAGGAAAGAATGTTGGAGAAATAAACATTAAAATGTTAGTGAAAATTGTCTTGGCATAGTGACATTGAGTGATTTATCTGTATACATTTTGGAAGACATTCTTAGCCCAGGTACATGAAAGATCATGTTCTTTGCAATGGTTTGATGAAGGCAACATTTTTGTTACTTTTGAACACAATACTTTCATCAGGGTGCTGAGAAATACCACAGAAGTCAAGGGAACTGATTTTGTGGTTATCTTCTTAAAGTGTGGATTCCTGGTTGGTAATAACTTTTATAGAGTTGGCATAGTACCACTAGGATTGAGCTACAAGGTAAGATGCAAACACAATAAAATAACATAAAATCAAATTTGGGTTATCTTTACATGGGCTTGCGCCTGATAGAATTTGAATTCAGTTATATGTTTCTGTTTATGTATATTTACCATTCACCTTCAAACCCAAATAGCTTTTTTCTCATTATTTTTGGTGAAACACTACTTAAAAGTCAGTAACTTTCTTTTATGAGCCACTGAAGAAAGTACTAAGGATTCTGTTTCCAGTTGCTAAGATATGTTGTCTGTGATATTGGTACTTTTGGTGTGAACACAGAGAGACAAGAATAATTTGCTATTAAGAAAATCATTTTATGGTATTGGAACTTTAGTTAAAAGATGAAATTATAATGCCTTCATAAGGCCCTTTTGTTGGAATTACTTAGGCATACTTTAATGAACATGTAACAGATCTAGCCCTGTAAATCTTGGTAATTTATGTACCTGGAAAGTCCCAGAGACAGGAATTTCTTAATTTTGAGTCTTTAGATGTCTCTGAGACTAAACATTCATTTTGCCTTCAATAAATATACTCACCTTGAATTGATACCAGTTTAGAAATGTACAGCCTTCAGAAATTTAAGGTGGCCATGCTTTTTCATACAGGAACCCCCAGGAAAATCTGACAGCCTCATGATATGTGTCCAAGGTGTGCCATGATTCTGGTCATTCTTGTTATTCTTACTGAGTATGATGACAACATTTTTGTCAAATGCCTTTAAAAAAAATTAAGTKACAAGTTGTACAAGAAATAGTTGTAGGCACATACTTCCAATGTGCCCTCTCTCTGTGCACATGTGTGAATGTGTGAGTTTGAGTGTACACGCTTTCTCTTTAAGGGAATCTACATTGTTCCTTCATGTTAAAACTGACTTAGAACTAGTGACTTATTTGACTAAAAGAATGTGACAACACTCATCGCCTGAGACTTTTGAAAATTGGCCATAAGAAGCCCTGCACCCTGCATTTGATCCTCTGAATTGTTTCATCTTGGGACAATCATGTTGAAGGAAGTCAGGCACCATTTAAGAAGTTTAACCACCATGAAATGGTCACAGTATGTGACATTGAAGCCACATGGGAAGGGCCTGGTGTCTGAGGTGCAATTAGGATGAAGAGAGAGGATAAGGCCAGATGTGGGTGAGGAAGCCAATTTGGAAGTGGGCCACCACAATTAACATATAGATCTGGGACCAGCTACCCAGTTGAGTGCTTTCTAGACCCGAGCCACAAAATCATGAGCAAAACAAAATGCTTGTTTTGAGCCATTGTTCTAAGGTAGATTTTGTTACATATCATCACATAAGTGGAACAGAGATTCTTTTCTCTTTAAGAAAAGAACACTGTTTTTACTGCTTCTGAGATCTGTATTTTGGGCTATTTCTACCTTAAAATACAGAACTGCCTAAAAATGGAATGATGGAAACAAAATCATCATCAGAAAATACTGTGGGGCTGGGGTTGTAGTGCTGTGGAAGAACATTTGCCCAGCATGAGTGAGGCACTGGATTGGTTTCTCAGCACTGCATATAAATAAAATGAAGGTGCATAGACGACTAAAAAATATTTTTTTAAAAAAGAAAGAAAATACTATGCTCCAATATGACCTCTCTGAGTGAAGGAAAAGAAGAAAGAAGAGAGGAAAAGTGACAGATAATATAATTACACTCAGGGGTGTGTCTGCTTGCACATTCATCCTTTTTTGCCTCTCAAAAACAACTCAAGATGATCAATGACTTCAATTAAATCATTGGAGAAAGAAGGAAAATTTACATAAGCTAGGTCTGTTAACACAAGCGCTTCTTTTATGACCTGTGCTAGCCCCCTCTTCCTGAGAGTGCCTTAGTRAAGCACAGAAGGATTCTTACTTCACTGATCTGCAAATCCTCTCTGAAAGAAACCCCTGGTGGTCTCCTACAGTCCTTTTAGAAGAGCTTTAATAGCCAAGTACATTAGCAAGGTCTCATGCGGTTGAGGCTTCATTAATCTTCCCCAATACAGCCTCGTATGTTTGCCAGTTTACCACAAAGCATTAATATAAGTAAGTAAAACTAAAACATATTTGTCAGGAAGAGGATACAAATAGAGCATGGGATGAAGAATGTGGGTACATTCTCTTCTCTAATTTTTAGAAAACATTTATTCCTGGGGGAATTATTCCTGTGCATTTGTCTGACTTTCAATTCTATATTTATTCAAACTCTAAAATCAAGTGCATAACTTAAGAGAGTTTACCCATTGTGGGATTGCCCTCCCCTAAAACAGGGTTGAAAGGCACCAATAGCTTCTCTTTCTTGCCTTCTCTTCCTCCCCACCTGCTTTCCTTTATCTTTTCTGGTGGAATAAAGAGATTTCTTATCATTAAATGAACATCATTTCTTGTAAGTTTCTCATGAGCAAAGAAGATGAATGTCCACTTCTCCCAGCATCATGGCTTCCCCTGATAGCAGCTAACATTTTAAAATGATGTAACCTTTTGGCATTTATAGATCTTTGGGGATTTAGGAGAGAAGTTAACTGTGGGACTTGTAATAACCATGGAAGTGTGTTCTGATTGCATTTGAGCAGAGGCTATGGGTAATGCTGGTGTTTTTAAGGCTTATCAAATATTCTCAAGGTATTTAATTGGTTTCCATAGTGACTAAAATAATGAAAATATCCCCTGAATTTGTACATCATTCTTTTCCTCTAAAACACCGTGTTTGGGATTTAAACCAGTGGCTCAATGCTGAAAATTAATCAATATTCCATATTCCCTACTATCTTTCTGGTATAATGATAGCTATTTCTCCAGCAAAATTAGTCTATATTATCGGATGCCAATTAGACATAGGCTGCATTTATTAGGAAGGCAGTTACTTTTAATGATTCTTTTTGGTTTTAGCACAAACTTCTTTGAGAACTAGCATGTGGGGAAATGTTGATTTAACACCCTCTGGTATCATTAGATCAGAGCCTTTCACCTATTTYCATCATCACTTTCTTATCTATTTTATGATAAAGCATAAAATCAGTCTTCAGGAGAGAGTGCTTGAAGGTCAAGAAATAGGAGGCAAGGTCCAGTGTGAAAAATCTGGCCTGAACCCTGTCTGGGTATTTTGACTTTATAGCTTTATATATAATGCAAACAAACAAACAAAAAAAAAAAAAAAAACAACTTTAGGAATATCTTAGTAGCATCTTGTTACTGAAAGTCTATTATCGTGTACCCAGTTCTTTATTGCTCACTGTGTTTTCTAGCTTGGTAATATTTTTATGAGATATTTCCAATTCAAGGTTTCTATCTGAACTGGACTGTCATATTTTAGCAGGACATATACTACCAAATGTGCCATCCCTTGTGAGGTAATAATAGTAACTTTTGCAAAAATCTACTTTGTTTTCATAGAAAAAAAAATCCATTTGACCTTCCCACAGACCTATGCAGTGTATGACATAGACAGGTTTATCCCCAACTRGCTGTGCACCCTTGAGCCAGTTGCCTTATTTCTCTAAGCCTTATTTCCTTATCTATCAAATGGACTTAACAGCCACTGAAGTAGTTTTGTAAAACAATTTAATGGGATGATTATGTTTCCAAGGTTTAGTAGAGTATGGGAAAAAGTAGATGCTCAATACATATCAACGTGTTCATGGTATCACTATATCACTGCCTTCATGGAGGAAACTGTTTGAGAAGAAAATTAAGTGAGCTGTGAAGTATTCAAAGGGACACAACTAACATGGCAGAGAAGCAGTTCATGTCCATGTCTTCGAACTCAAGCCCCATGCTGTTTCCTGTGATGGTAGAACAGGCTTAAACTTTGTTTTTCCTTCTTCCCCTGGTATGAATGGCTTTCACTAAACACATTCTCTTCCTTTCTCATTAGTGATGAAGCACATACATCCATGAAGATACTGACCACAGTCAGGTTTAGGAAAAAACCACGGCCTCTTGGTAAACAGCAGTCTCTGGTGCGCCCACGCCCAGTCTGCACATCCACCTGCTGCCCGTGCAGGAACATGCTTCTCCCTCCTGCAGGCTCAGTGCTGTCCAAAGCAACAGAAGCACTCTCATAGTAACATATTGTTCTTAAGTTTGATTTTTTAAGATGTCTCAAAGGAAAGGACTACATTCAATAGTCCCAAAAGATAAGAGATGCCCTGAATATTTTCTTTCTTGGATTATCTTCCAAGGAGGGTACTCCATATATTATCATTTCTGATTAACTGACTTTTCTCTCATGAATGCCATAGTACTGGACAAAGGAGTGTTGAGTAAGTGAACTCTCATTATTGTTGCAAATAATGAATAAATAGAGTCTCCTGAAATTGCAATTAAGGTATGTGTGAAGGACTGAAATTGTATTGTATGCTCCTTAAAATTTTTCTTTTTCCCCTAAAATGCTCAACTCTTTGGGACCTCATTAAAAAGGAAAGAACAGTTTAAAAGTAAACTCAACAAACAAACTTTTTAGACTACGATGCTAAAGTTTTCCAGCAATTTCACTGAATCACTTGTCAGGTCACAAGTAGATGGTCTGTTGCCCAAATGTTCTGTCTCTTAGTATTGAATGACACTATTTCGTGTTAATGAACAAAGATGGTACATTAGGTGAGCTTCGCTGAGTTTGGTAGGAAGGGATTTAGGACAAGTGGTTGTATTGTGTCCATCTTCCCACAGACTCATTTCTCTCCATGTGTGCTTGATGGATACATTTTCCCTTGAATCACTTGTCTCTCCTGCTTTCACTAATTTTTTTGTACTTCAGTGTTTTCCTTTCCATGGCTCCTTCTGGGATCCTTTGTAAATTCCTTCCRAACAATTGGCAATTGATAAGCTCTTACTGCTCTCACTCTCTGCTTGTCTGGGAAGGATAAATGCTCAGCCCACATTGGGAATAGGCACTCTTCTGCCCACATTGGTCAGCAAATTACTTCCTTGCTCTGATTACATTTTGCCTAATTTGTTTTTAATTTTGAGGCCAAAGGCTTGCAAATAGCCTCTTATTCTGTTTGTAGATAGAACTATTACTTTTTGAATAAAGCAGGCAGATAACTGCTGCTGTTGCAGTTTCTCTTTGTCCTTGTCATTATCATCATGAAAAGCATTTACTGTGCACCTGTGATATGGGCAAATAGAGCTGAGTTGAGTCTTGAGCAAAGGGGAGAAAGACAGACACATAGAGAAATCTGCAGCAGTAGGACATTACTTTTGCTTTTATTCCAGCCCACAAATGACAAGGAATAGACAAATCAGCAAATAAACAAAGAACAATGCAAAAAATAAATACTGTTTGCATTAGGACCAAACAAATGGTGGAAAGCTTATAGGCACAGAGGTGATGAAGTGATCCATATTAACTCCACCTTATCTAAACAGGTAAATGGTGGCATTCTGGGAATGCCACTCCTAGAAAAGGAATCTGGAAAGCTAAATGATTCCCTCTGGGAAGAAGTTCCACAGTAGGCATCTGGAAGGATCAGAAAGTTGCTTGCCAACACTTTGTAGAATTACATCATGCAGCCATATGTTGAATCTAGAGCAAATTGGAGAGTGAGGACACATTTAATTTTTGACGACACTGAGCTGTCAGAAGGAATACTACCAAGAAAGAGAGGAATGACGTATTTGAAATCTATAAATTGCATTTCGTGTTCATTTGTCACCTCGAGGAAAAGCAAATAAAGCTTCTTCCTCCTTCTGAAGTGGATGATGAATGATCGCTTAGAGTTGGGTGGCAGGAGCTGTGTCGCCTTTATTGACTTTCTTTGGAAAACAATCCATCTGCAGATGCAGACCGCACAGCATCTGCACACCCTGCAAGGCATAGGTGAACTGCTTCTTACCACTCCTGGGCTCATTTGGACAGAGAATAATTACTCCTGTTAAAAGCAGTCTCTTTCTCTTGTCTTCACCCACCTCGTTTCCACGTCAAACAGTGGAGACTTGTTCAAGAGAACTTGGACTCACAGTGTTACAGGGTCCCTGGGCTGCATTCAGCAGAAGCCAGGGATGAAAGGATTCACTCCTTTACTTGTTCATCCTTTTATTCATTTACAATGATATATGGACCTACTATGGAATAAGCTTTTTCCTGGCCAACAGAGACCTCTYCTTTTAGGGAGCTCCCTTTGGGAATGTGCAGAGCTTGGGTTCATGCCTTTTCCCGGGTTCTACTAAAATTCTGTTACTTACATCATATTCCAGAATACAGAAGATTAAATGCAACAAAACATCATTTATTCAAAGTCACATGAAGAGCCCAGAGAGAGTAGAGAGCTGTAATAATTAGTTTTTCATTGCTCTAARATATACAACAAGAAAAACGTAGAAAAGGGAAAGTTATYTGGGACTCATGATTTCAGAGGTCTTAGTCCATAGATGACTGACTACATTGATCTGGGCCCAAGATGAAGTAGCRCATCAGCAGGGAAGGGCCCATTAGAGAAAAGCTCCTTAGCATGGGAGACCAGGAAGCAGAGACAGAGAAGAGAGGGGGAAGGACCCCAGGGGAAAACTTCCAGGCATGCCCCCAGTGACCCACCTCCTCCAGTCATGCCCCACCTGTCTACAGTCACCACCCAGGCAGTCCATTCAAACTAGGATGGACTGATTAGGTTATGGCTCTCAMAATCTGATCATCTCACCTCTGAATATTCCTGCATTAACAGGAGCTTTGGGGGTGGGGGGGGGGGATTCTCTGTATCCAAACCATGATGAGAGCCATCCTGAGCTAGCAAAACCAGGAATCATTGGGAATTTAAGTACATTCCAACCCCTGTACCAATAATAGCCTAGTTAGGTTAAAGGTTGAGATGAAGAAATTGGAATACCTTATACTCAGTAGGCATGCCAATGTGTGTGCACTTGTTTGTGCACTTATGTGCACCATCATTTTGGTCAATGAAAAAAGTCAGAATAAAGATCTCTTATCTGTGATATGACATAAAGATGTGATTAAAGAAGAAGAAGGAAAAATACTTGTAGTTTAACTGGATAGGCTCATGCACCATTTATTTTTCTTTTGTTTTGGATTCTACTGGAAGTCTCAACCAAGTTGTTTGTGTAGTAAGAAATGATCACACAAAAGTGGATCCATATTTACCTGTTTGTTTTGAGTAGATTTGAGCAGAAACTTGAAAGAAGGACCACTGGAAAGTTTGCGTTGTACTGACATACACACATATATATATGGTTTGAAGAAATTTCCTGCCCTCTTTCATCATTTCCAGAATGTCAGATTCACAAATGGAGGGTTTTATGTGAGTGCTATATAGAGAGGGTGGGATTTATCCATATATTGGAAAATATTTGCATTATTTCACCACTATCACTTACAATTATCTAGATACAAAGTATCTTACACAGTCTGTGGACCTTAGAGTATAGATGAATATAAAATATTTAAAATAGAGGATAAATAATAATCAGCTTGATTGGGTGTGTGCTATAGGTCTAGCTTTAATTATTTTATTTTTAYGAAGTTGTCAAGTGAAGCAGGTGGTGAAGAAGAGAGGAAAACATATTTCTGGTTAACAGATAACTAGGAAATCAAGGGGAAAATCATTACTTTGCCTGAGACAATAGATACTCTGTTAAATTGAGCCGCTTCATATTATCATGAAAATTACTTTTTGGCAGTAGTGCAAAAGGCTATTATAAATTAGTGTTAATTGTGGTAGTCATACAAGGCAATATGATCATTTGATGACTTATTTGTTTTTTGAAGAATGACAGCTTTAATGTGCCAATAAATATGAAATCACCTGGAAATGTCTCTGTAAATTTAGGAGCCATCTAAACATTCTTGTTTAATGCATGCACTGGTGTTTAATGAAGCGATGTGAGTTTGTACTTAGAAGATTACCTGATGGCTCTTGTCAACCATCCAGTGAGGGAAGCAGTCTACTTGGTGAGTGTGAGACACATAAACCTGTAACTGTGAGAATTTATGGTTGACAGGCAGTGGCTTCACTGAATATGAAAGGGGATTAGACTCCGGTTTTGCATGCTTCCTGTTTTGTCTGGAGTATGGCTGACAGTTACCACCTTCTCCTTACCTCGGTACATCCCTTTTGTCTTCTTCAAGAAGAAGTTGGAAGAATAGCAAGAAACTTTAAGCTTATCCTGAATAACCTAGAGTTTAGGCACAATGTGCCTGGAATGCAAACTTCATGCCATTTGTAGTAAGAAACACACCATTTTCAAAGATCATACAAACTCTTCTTAGGTTTTAAGATGATTGCCTCTGAATCCTTGAGAAACCTGTATGTGTCTGCCGGGCAGCCTGCTGCTTTATGTCATGGCTCTGTTCTCACTCTGTCTCCTCTCTCCCTCTTCCTGAAACTGCTGCATCCTTGGCTGGTAATCTTTAAACCCTGGGCTGCAGTGATTTCTCTTCATAGAGCCACACATTAAGCACATCTTTCTTGCTTCTCTCAACCAAACTCAGAGAGTGTCAATTAATAAGCTGATGGGGAAGAAGTCAATGTGTAGCAYTAAGGCCCTGTGTCTGGAGATATTAGGTATGCCCTTCGACTGAGTGAAAGGAGACCCACAGAGGGTGGTGAGTGGGGTACTTTATCATATATCCCTAGAGGCATAAAAGGAGACGATAGAAAGCAGTTTTCAGGGCACTTCGTTCATCTTGCTCTACTGTGGACTATTCTCAATGTTCCAGCCCAGATTGGGGATCCCAGTGAGTGCAAAATATCTGAAGCTGTGAATTGTGCATATTTATAGCCCCTGGGCTAAAAATTGTGAAGGGCAACCAAGTGCAAATATGCTTTCATGGAAATTTCATTCACATTTTTGCCCACAGACAAAAAAAAAAAAAAGACCAATATCTCTATTCTCATGGATCTTGTGTTCTAGCAGAAGGTATAGRGATGAAAAAGAAAATAACAAATAACTTATATAGGAGGTTAGAATGTAATAAATATAACCTAGGTATTATTCCAAGAGAAAGGTTTTATGAGGCCAGACTTTGACTCAAGGCTCAGAAAATCAGGTTGAGGGTTGGATGACAAGGACACTGTGGAAGTGGAATGAAGGCATATGGGATAGGAAAGAAAAAAGAAGRCAACAATAGGGTTTCTGTGTTCTCAGTTCCCACAACAGACAGTAACCATTCGCTCATTTACTGTGCCAAATGGAGCAATTAAGGGRCCAGATGAAGAAGCACTGGCATTAAGGAAGTCATAGGAAATATTGCAGGGGAAGGAGTAACTAGAGGAAAAGAAAAAAAATAAGGAATCCTATGGAAGAAAATGCAGTCCTCCCTTTCTTCCACTTCCTTACCAATTCCACTGCCCCTTTCATTTCTCACGGTTCGATGGCATTGATCCACAATAGCAGCATAAATGTGGCAGAGTGAAGGTCTTTGGCCAAGAATTCTCTACCTGCCCCTTATCTTTCCCTTGTCAAAATTTTAGCTCATTTTYGAGTTTTATAAGTTTATAACCTCTCTGTTTTTCTCTTTTCCCCACCATTCTTCCTGCAGATTATGTTACTYACAGACCCGGAGATTGAGAGCAGTTTATTGATCAGCTCAGATGAAGGGGCAACGTATCAAAAGTACCGGCTGAACTTTTACATCCAGAGCTTGCTTTTCCACCCAAAGCAAGAAGACTGGATTCTGGCATAYAGTCAAGACCAAAAGGTGAGCACCGTGACTTTCTTGAGACTCTGGTGCCCAGATCTCCAGGGAAAAGAGAGCTAGATAATCACCTCTGTATTTCATCTGGATGACTGCTTCTGTTCTGTGCAATAGCCTGAACTTCSTGCCAGTGAGAGATGGGGGAAGCAAAGAAGATGTTGGGTTTCTTGCTTAACTCAGRTGAACATCTCAAACAGCATGAAGAATACAGGTTAGATTCTAGACAAAACACTGGAAAAGCAGTTCTTCACTTGGATGCTGTGTTAGTCAGCTTTCTGTCACAGTAACAGATTACTGAGATAATCAAYTTAGAAAGARAAAAAAGTTTATTTTGACTCACAGTTTTGGAGGTTCTAGTTTGGAGGTTCTAGTTGGGTGTCCCCATGCTTTGGGCTTCCAGCAACGTAACACCTTACTGCAGGGGGTGTGACAGACAAAATCTCTTATCTCATCTGCCGGGAGGTAAAGAGAAGAAAGCATGAGTTGTGGCCAAGGTTTCACATTCCCCTTCATGAGCATCCTCATGATGRCCTAAGGATCTCCTATTAGGCTCCACCTCCTATATATCCCCAGCACCTCCCAGTAGTCCTGCCTTGGGGATACACCCTTTAACACGTGGACMTTTGGGCAACATTTTTTCATCTAAACTATGGTAGATCTCTAAGGTTGTCAGGAGCCACTGGCCTCCATGGAATTGGAGACTATTTTATGTATATGGGTAAGTGATCAATTTTCATGGTAAAGGATTCTTAGCTTTGCTCAAAATCTTACAGAGAAGCACAAATGCAAAGAAGGGCRCTAAGGGTTTGCTAAAACAAGTGAGAGAAATGACCAGAGAACAACAATAATGTGCACAGGTAGTGTTACTCAGAACCCAGTGACCTCAGGAATTTTCTTCACTTAGTGGGAAGAAGTCCACTTCTTAAGATAGCACAAGATGTGTTCATGCTATTTATTACATTTGTGTGCACATGCATGTACCCATAAATGTCATACTGTATTCAAGGTACTCTGTACTACATATGCACCACAAAAAAGCAAATAACACCTGCTTTTAGGGAGCTTACATTCTCAGCTGTAATATAAGTTAGCAATGGCAGGTATAATTAAATAAATTAAAACTAAAAGAAACAATATGTGCATAGGCAAATATGAGAGAGACGATAGCCATGAAACTTAAAGGGAAAACAGGATAAATGGTATTATTCAGTGAAGTCATACTGAGGATTCCCTTAGAGGAGTCACATCTTAGAAATTATCTATATTGAAAGAAGTACTGGCTGCATGAGTCGGGAGGATATTCCAGGGTTTAATCTGTCTGAGCATGCATCAAAGTTGGGGGTTTTCTCTGAAAGCAGAGGAATGGTATAAGCAATTTCCCAAGGTCTCTACTGACGTGAGCATTTTGGAGGAAGCAAATGAACATCTTAGGATTGGAGTTTTATTCATAGTGCCCTTACTGCCAAATAAAATGCACATTAAGCCTAAAAATAGAAAAGATTTACAATTAGTCCTTTTTTTCCTCTTGAGCAGCCTGGCTAGCCTTTGAGCAGAATGCACAATTCTGTTCCTGGAGTCAAGCCACAGTRCATCTGGTCCAGGAAGGCTCAGTTAACAGAGATGAGGGCTGAGCAGCTCAGGACACAGAGTATTAGTCATTTAATCCACTGGGTTATTGAATTTTATTCGACAGTTGGTTAATTTTTTCCCCTGATGCCAGAGGCACAGTGAAGGCCAGATTTACCTGGCTAAGTGAAAACTCTGCATCTTTGCAATTATGCTGGAAGTGATGCCTATAAATGTAACCCTTCATGTTCCATCACTTCAAACACTGCCTCTTGAGCTCTCTGTGGCAGAATGGAWGACCCTGTAGGAGGTAGGGCACGTAGACTGTGATCCCAAATCAGCCTTTTGTGGTGAATAGTTTTAGTGCTGACTTCCTTTGCCTTCCAATATGTTTGTATGGGTAATTATAATAGCAGATGCTCCTCCAACAAGTTTGAAACAAACCACAAATACTAGACTCCACATCTGTTTTAGATACTCTGTGTGGTTGCAATGTCAGTATATAATAACCATATCAAGGAGCTTAATTAATACATATGATTTCACAACGCCTGAGAGAGGCTAAAAAGTCAGTGCCCTCACTTAGGCATAATAGCTGCACAATCAGAGTAGCTSAATGATTTCATGCAATTGGTAGCCCATAGTTGAGGAGATGGAGATTTAGTGATATGTGTAACTTTGAAGTCCTATGAAATGACTTCACCTGGACCTTCATAAATACATCAGATTTCTGTTTGAGAGGAGYGCATTTTTTTTAATATGAGGAATATCAGAAATAATCATATAAAATTTGGAAAATCATGTTTACAGGATTGTGTATTTGGCTAAAACTGAAGCTTGGTAAAGTTAATTATAATGTGCGTGTGTGTATAGAACCTAATTTTGATTAGTTTTCATTTTTTAACTGATTGTGCAGGCATAAATAATTTTTGTTTTTCTAATTAGCAGCCTTTGGGAATTTTGGTCAGGATAATGATGTGTTCAGCCTGTGGATGCCAAGGGCTAAAATGCTAATGTAAGGATGAACTGAGATCCAAAGCAAGAAGACTGGTTAGGTTGATGGGTTCTGCTGGCTTCACATGTTGAAAGTCTGGAACAGAAGATACCTTTTGTCACCACAGACCCAATGAATCCTGTCATCTTAGAGCTGAAAAGAAGCCTTGTTCATCTGAGTTCTAAATGATGCTAAGGATTCAAAAATCTGAGGAGTGAATACATTTCTTCAAAGGGAAAATGATCATTTGGTATCATGTGGATGCCCAATGAATGGAAAAATGATTACATAAAATTTGTTACGGTTCTCATTTTCAAGGGTGATATTTTGAGGTGTACAGATGGGTAGAAGCCCTTTTTTCTGCAACMTTTCTGTTTCTGCAAGAAAGAATGAAGGATAAATCATCTTAGTGTGACAAATYGGATTATCTGATAATATATATGGAAGGGGCCCAAGACTCAGTCTTTCAAGGCTTGAGCCACAGAATGAAGCTGGGAGCATCAGCTGGAGGGGAGCAGGCTGCAGGCTTCATCACCGGCTAATGGTGGTGTTGTCTGGAGTCAAGTGGAGAGGGACTGTGGTCACTCAGATGGGTCATTGGTATGGAAATCAGAATGGGCAATCACTTGTGGCTTTTAGGACTGAAGAGCTGTAGCTGTGGGCATCAAGCAGGGTCGGTGCTGATGTTGGCTGGTCAATGGCTGTACGTGCCTAGCAAAGGAGAATGTTCCTTCTTTCATACACCTCATCAGGGTTTCAGTGACAGCGCCTTCAGAACTCCCATCCTCAGTGCTAGTATCAATRGGCTGGATGCTGTTTTACATCAAACTAGTGAACAGAACTCTCGGCTGAGTTGCCATCTCTTAGAAATGCCTCGTTGGATAGCAGCTCCTCCAGAACTTACCTGAGAACAAAGTCTTCTCTCCTGGCTTTTCTTATTTGCTGTTTTCTTTTACTTTTCTTTCTKTCTCCCCCTTTAAACACCTCRCCACATTTATTTCTCCTGTATTTTCTGACATTGTTTTTTCTGTACTTCAGTGAATGAGAATCTTTTAGGTCCTGAGGACAGAATTTGGATCTCAGGCCCRAAGAGAGCCCATATGGACTGCAGGCTCTGCTCCTGCTGTTTCGTCTTGGATGCCTTGAACACCCAGTGGAGGCTTTTTGATGTGAGCATTAAAAGGGACTCAAAGAGTTTTCTTGAGCAGTTTGTCTTTACTGGCCCAAGTTAAGAGTTTTGCTGGCCATCACTTCCATGGGAGGCCAGATTTTTTTAAAGTGGTTTTTAATTAAGGATAYATTTGTGTGGTTTAATGTTCTCAGACTTCTCAAAATTGGGAAATTTTAATGTTTTAGTTGTTTTCCTTGGAGGGAAAAATCTATTGGTGATATTCAATATCTAAGTGGTTGCATTAGCCAGGGTTCTTCAAAGAAATAGAACTAGTAAAAGAGAGATTGTGAAAATTGGCTTATGAAATTATGAAGGCTGAGAGGGCCTAAGATCTGCTTTATGCTAGCTGGGAAAATGAAGAAAACCAGTGGTGTGATTCAGCCCAAGTCCAAAGGCTTGGGAATTGGGTAGTGGTGGGATGTGGGGGTGGGTGGGAGGAGTGCCAATCATGTAACTTCAAATCCAAGTTCAGAGACCTAAAAATTAGGAATGTGGGTTTCTGAGGGCAGAGGAAATGAATGCCTCAGCTCAAAAAAAAAAAAAAAAAAAGTGAGCAAACACCCCTTTGGAACTCAAATGACTGGATGATGTCCACCCACATTGGAAGGTGGAATTTCTTAACCTACTGATTCATATACTACTGTAATCCRGAAACACCCTCAAAGACACACCCAACTATAAGGTTTACCAGCTATCTGGAATTTCTCAGCCCCATTAGGCTGACATATAAAATCAACCACTKGTGCTGTTGCATGGAGGTAAATGCTCTCTTAAATGGGTGGGTTCCCCAAGAATGACTGAAGGGAAAAGTGTAAATTCTTTTTCCAATTCAAGGTGTTAAAGAAATAGCCTGACTGCTATAAAGCCCTACCCTCAGACTTACCTGTTCAGAAATAGGAGCAATACTCTGACCTTTTGAGGATCTATGTGAGAATGTGCTTTTGGAAACCATGCCCCTCAGATTCATGGTGAACCACTGTGAACCACAAGAAGAAATYCACGGCATTTATCACAGAAGCATGAGAATCTTGCTCTATTATTTATTGTTTATTTATGTAATTTAAACAGTAGGCAAACAGAAAATTCTGCTCTTGGTGTTGTTTTGTTTCTTTGTCTTTGGAAACGAAGCAGACAGGAAAAAGGAGACACAGGCCTTTACTTCATTGCTCGTTTTCCCGACTTTCTTGCCTCAATACAGGAAACCACCCAAGGAAGGCTTAGCAGCAGGCTGAGTCTGCCAGATTACATCTTTATTTTAATTTGGCAATAAAC